AGGTGGCACCCAACAAAGTCAACCCTTCTTCTTTGTGGGCTTGGGCCGAGAATGGAAAAGGGAAGGAGGAGATTTTTGGGCTTTTTGCCCCTAAGCCCATATTATAGTTAGGTTGAATGATTGTTGTTCCTATAAAAATATAAATGTGATTTTTATGCTTTAGTAGGCTAGATTAGGTTAATTATGGTCCAAAATAGTTCATAATATTTGATTTATTTCATTCTAGGCCCAATATGGCCTAAATTATTGAAATAAATGAAAGTGGGTTCAATTAGAGCCCATTTAAGAGTTCTAAGCCCAAGATAGTCAAATTGGAAGCTTATTGGTCCATTGGGCCCAATAAGGAAGTCCTAGTCCAAAATGGACCTAAACAAGAACTTCTAGGGTTTCCAATTGCTTGTTGACTATTTGTAGTGCTTGTATGAAGTGTTTGATTGAAAATTTGTTGTTATAGAGTAAGTATCATGCATGCTTTCATGTCTTTGATTCATAATTCTTACTTAAGTGTTGTAGTTACCAGGCACATAATTTCTAGTTTTGACATCACAGAATGCAACCAAGTCTAATAATCAAATGAGGCCCAATAGCTCAAAGTCCCAAAACCGATACGGGTCCATCTGTGATGCGTACGCTCGACGTACCATCCTAATACGTGCATCGTACTGAGGTCTTGGACTACGCACGTCGTATACTGGGTTACGCCCAACGTACTACCAGGTTAAGAACTTTCTCCATTAAGTGGTTAATACTCGATTCGTTTACGTCCAAAAGTCATATCTAAGTTTGTTAAGATGTCCTAAGGCATAAAATTGGAAACTTTGTGCCTTTGCTTGCCCCATAAGCACCCAACACCCCCATTAAGACCTTTTTAAGGTTCCTAACCCATGCATGAGGTCAAAGCTCTCAACAAGACTCCATTTTTAAGCTACTAAAGGACCTAGGGACCTCAGATATGTCATTCCCATCTTCTGGATTTGCTTAACTCACAAATGGAGGTCCAAAATCAACCAAAGGGAGAAAGCTAGAAAACCCCAGATAGATCTAGAGATTTAAGTGGAAAGATCTAAGCTTTTTACCTCCAAGAACTCCTCAAGGTCGTCTATGTGTAGATTCTTGAAGCCAAAAGACACTCCAAGCTTCTTTGACCACTTCTTCTTCTTGGATGAACACTAAAAGGACCACAATTTCACTCTCAAGGCTCAAAATGCACTCACAAAGGATATTAAGGCTTCCAAGAACGTTTGAAGATGAAAAGAGCTAGTGAGGGTGAGGCTCAAGTGAGTTAAGGGCGTTTAAATAGATCACAAGTCCGTAAATTAGGGTTTGCACCCTCGGCACGTATGCCCAACGTACGTCTTGTATGCCCATGATACGTCTAACTCATCCGCGATTACCCATGCATAGTATGTTAAGCGTAAACATAAGTACGCCCTGCATACTTAAATGACCAATTATGTAAAAATGTAATTTCTTCAAGGGTTTCAAGTCATACCTGGTTTAGGGCGTTACATATCAAATGTACTCTACCTCTGATATGATCCCACCTAGTTGTTCCTTACATGATAGATCTTGATGTAGACATTGGGATATTTCGACCCTATATGCCTTGGAAGAAATGTTGGCATTACCTGGTTGCCCGACGGTGACATGTAGCGCATCAATTACATGTCGCCACTATTGCCCTGCGCCGCCGGTAATGCTAACATTTCTTGTAGTAGAGAAGCAGACCCTAAATATTTGAATAGTCAAAATTCATTTAAATTATAGCCTTACCCTATTACAAAACTTCAACCATTTGTGGCAAGTGTGATCTTTCTTTTTATAAAGTCTCCTTTAAGTTTTTTATTTTTCCTGTCATTAAGTTTCATGCTTTATAAACTTCCGTTTATGTGTTGTATATAGTTTGTATGTGTTTGTTTATGTGTTGATTTTTGATTAATTTTGCAACTTCAGTTTCTTAGTTCATGTTGTGGTTTTGCTTTTTATAAAATAATTGATAATAGGCATCATCTGCAAGTCTCTGTTGGTTTTACATTTTCATTCGTTATCCAATGTAGACATTGATGGGAGGTATCAAAGTGAGATTGTATTTGTACATATGGATGTGTTTATGTAAACATTTAAATGACAAAAAAGTACTTATTGATAAAATGTTGCATATTTTTGTAATGAAGATCATCAATCATATGAGGTTTTGAACTTAGAAGTTCTGGAAGGGTTGTGAGATAAGTTTAAATGGAAGCAACTATTTTTAGTTAAACAAGTCAGTGACATTGATTAGTAAGCATGTTTTCTAAATAATTAGGGTTAATGACTTAGGAGGGTAATTTGGTTTTCAGTTTGTTCGTATTAGGTCACTAAAGTTTTTTTTTTTTTTTTTTTATTATTATTTTTTTTAGACCAATATGGTGGTTATTACCATTTAGAAATAGTCATTTTTACCGGTAAAAATGACTATTTTTAAATGAAATAACAACCATATTGGTCTAATACGCAAAAAAAAAAAAAACCTTACCGACCTAATACGGACACATTGGAAACCTTATTACTCTCCTAAATCATTATCCCTTTGGGCAATAGATGACACCGGAAAGGAAACTTATTTCCCTCTTGTCTACATACCTGAATACAAACTATTCGTCTAAAGCAACTATCCGATATAAAATAGTCCGCCAAAAGGTTCAAATGAACTATCTAATGTAGAAAGGAAACAAAACGCCACATATAAACTCTTCGCCGAAAATAACTATCTGGAGTCAATGCATTGCTTCAGTGCCTCACTAATATATATATATATATATATATATATATATATATATATATATATATATATATATATATATATAGTTAAGAGTTTGTTCTTTGATGTTATATGAACTTTGAGATCTGAGATAATCTACGCTTTAAGAGCATCTCCATTCCATTTCCATTTTCTATTTTTCCCCCTATTTTCTTCCCCATTCTTCTACAACCCTACCCTATTTATTCCTCCATTTTGGGGATATGAATAGTATTACACCAAATATGGTGGTATACTATTCATTTCTCCCAAAATGGGGATGAACTTTGCGTTGTCGGTTTTATTCCTTCTGTTTATATATTTATACATTTCTAGTTCGCTTTTACCTACTAATTATAATTTAAATATAATATTTAATAATTATAATATTTTGTTATATATTAAATTATATTAATTAATTATAAATATAAAATTTGTTTTTTTCATCAAATTCATATAAAAAGTTAAATACATATTGAAAATTTAAAAAATGATAACGTATTTTACAAAAACTTATAGTTAAAATATATATTATAAATACGATAGAGGTTGAATTGACGACATACGAAGACAGTCAATTCTAACAATTTCTTGCTCGATATAAATGTATTAAAGATAAAGAAACACACTTCAGTCTATGAAATGCGTTAGTTGATCATTTATGGGAAATTTATTCCAACGCATAAATATGTTATCTATGCATTTATAATATTTATTTAAAAATATGTATGTATAATATTTATATAAATGTATATATTATATTTATTTAAAAGTGTGTATGTGTAATATTTTTATAAATTCATGTATAATATTTATTTATAAGTGTATTATAAATATAATATTGTTTATTTAATATTAATGTAATGAAAAAAATATAGATTATATATTTGTTAAAACTAAATTAGTAGAGGGGTGTGTTTGCAAATATATGTAAATTGGAATAATAGAATATACTTGGAATATAATTTTTGGGGTTAAAAATGAGAGAAAAATTGGAGTAAGGTTGGAGATAAAACACTATTTACCCCATTTTTTACTCCATTTTTAGAAGAAAAATTGGAGATGGGTTTGAGATGGTCTACGTGATCTAAGTGTATTTGTAGTTAGGTATTTCTGGTGTAAAAGTAAATAATAATAATAATAATAATAATAATAATAATTATAAATTAAAAAAAAAATTAAAGGTTAGTTTGTATTTTTCTAGTCTTTGATTTTGATAAGTACGTGAAACTAAGATGCCTTATAGGGAACAAACTTTATGATCAATAGTATAATATAGGATGGCCGGTTCTCCGAGACACTACTAATAAAACTAAATGCATGGAAGAAAAGGGTATCTTTATACTATAACTTACTTAAATTTATTGATAGTTTTTGGAAGCGTTGGTTTTAAGTCGTCTTATGTTACTTAATTGTGATTATACTTAGGATAGCTTTCTTTTTCTCTTCAAGTAATGTATAGTAAAGGAGACAAAGATGAAGGGTAAAGCTGCATCCGCTTAATTAACACTTCAACACTCTTCTTTCCGTTTCATCTTATAGTTAATTTTTTTTTAGAACGGTTAAAATGTAACCCTACTCTTAAACTAAATCGAGATTTGAACCATCAACTTATAGTTTTAATTTTGTTGAAATTTCCCCATTAACTTATCTATCCGGATTCACTAACTACAATATAGCTTTATTTTTAATAGGATTAGAATACAAAATTTGTGCGTACTTGGAGTGTTTCCTATGTCAATTAATTCTGTCCCAAAGATTAATTGAAGATGGGGAACACCGGAACATTACCAAAAATTCTAGCTTTCCATTGTCAATTATTCCATTTGTTTCCCTTTCAAAACATCTTTTCACCACCCTTTTTGTCATCGCTAATTCTAAACATTTGTTTGAGTCGTAATTGGTGCCATCATATATGTTGGTTAACAATGGTGGAGCATCTCACAAGCTGGATTCTGTTTGTAGAAAGTGTTGCATGTGCAAAGGGATGCCAAATTTACACTAAAAGCAATATGAAGGGGTCTGAAAGATACCTTGAACTGAAGGTACTTAACTGTTACATTACTGGTTTTGGAGGTTCATGGATTCATTTTACTATAAATACGGAGACTATGAGTGTCAATAAGCACCAATTCAATATATAGATAAGATAACAGTTGAATATATCTTTGCACTACATAACTGTTCAAAATATTTCAAGTTTCTTCTACTCTGGGCTGCAATGGCTCAGTCGATGGTTTGTCATGTTATGTTAGTTGTGATATTCATACTGGTGGCTCTTGCTGAGGCACAAACTCCACCAGGAATTAACAACCCTAGCCATGCAACTTGTAAGGACCCGAGTTACAAAGAATGTCATAACTTGGTGCATGTTTGTCCTAAGTTTTGTCCAGATAGCTGCACTGTTAATTGTCAATCATGCAAACCTGTTTGTGGTGGCGACAGTGCACCATCACCACCAGAGATAGAACCACCTCCCACTGTTACTCCATCGCCGCCGGTGTACACACCTCCAACACCAACACCATCGTCACCACCTCCCACCACACCTTCACCACCAACAGAGTCCACACCTCCAACGCCAACACCATCTCCCACCACCTCATCACCATCAGAGGAATCCACACCTCCAACTCCAATACCATCCTCACCACCTTCAACCACCCCTGCACCACCAACATCATCCTCACTTGCACCTCCTACATGGTCTACTCCACCCTCGAAACCAAAGAAAGTCAAATGCAAAAACCAGAATTATCCAACATGTTATGCCTCCGAGCATGTCTGCCCTGCTTCTTGTCCTGGTCAATGTGAAGTTGATTGTGTTTCTTGCAAGCCAGTTTGCAGTGAGTTCTTCGTAACGCTATGTTTTCACTTTATTTATAAATACTAAAAATTCATATATGAGGAGAGTCATCTTGACATCACATTACGTTTAAACAGCTATCAATGAATCTCATAAATGTTTGTATATGTCTGGTAAATTACAGATTGCGATATGCCTGGAGCAGTGTGTCAAGACCCTCGTTTCATTGGAGGTGACGGCATCACTTTCTACTTCCATGGAAAGAAGGATCAAGATTTCTGCCTTGTTGCCGATGACAACCTCCACATCAATGGCCACTTCATTGGGAAGAGAAACAAAAACATGGGCAGAGACTTTACTTGGGTCCAATCTATTGGGATTCTTTTCGACAACCACAAAGTACAAATCAGTGCTCAAAAGACATCTTCTTGGGATGACACCATTGACCGTATCTATATTACATTTGACGGGGAAAACATATTTATCCCAAAAAGCGAAGGTGCCAAATGGCAATCTTTTACGACATCAATCACTAGGATTCATGACACCAACCATATCGTTGTTGAAGTTGAAAACCTCTTCAGGATCACAGCCAAAGTGGTTCCAATAACAAAAGAAGAATCAAGAATCCATAACTATGACATAACCAGTGACGATTGCTTTGCTCATCTTGATCTCAAGTTCAAGTTCTTCTCCCTAAGTAACGAAGTGGACGGAGTTCTGGGACAGACATATAGGAATGGCTATGTGAGCAAGGTGAAGATGGGGGTGTTAATGCCTGTGATGGGAGGAGATAGTAAGTTTGTGAGTACAGATTCACTTGCGACAGATTGTTCTGTTGCTAAGTTTAAGGGTAGCCAGGAAGATAGTTCCTCACTGAACTTACAGCTGCCAAGCTTGAGATGCCAAAGTGGTTTAGAAGGGCGTGGCGTCGTATGCAAGAGATAGACTTTCTTCGACTTGTTACTTAAGTACTTATATTTTCCCTACCTCTTTAATGTTGCAACCAATAAAGATAAAGAATTAATAATAAAATGATGGAACCTTACAAGATAAACTGTAACTTCCATCCGTCATTGTCATTTAAACATTGTTTACACATCTACGTGGCACATTGATTTTGTATGTGAACTGTAATATCAAACTATTAATAATAATTAATATATTTAACTATAATGAACTTTATAGAATTCAATGTATTATCATATCATCATTAATCCACAATCAATACAACTCTATAAAATTAAATGAATTATCACATCATCATTAATTTAGAATCCATACAACTTTCTTATTTTTTTCTACAATGTATTGAACTCTACAAGTTAAATAGAATGTTATAAAATGTAATTTATAGTAAATATTTTAGAATTAAAACTTTCTTTTTCACATTGAACTCCAAATCAATTCAATATCAATGTGACATCTCACAATAATAACATATAGACTAGCCACCTCATTCAACTCTTCCATTAAACTCACCATTGTGGATGATCTAACGAATAGGAAAGTTGATGTGTTCGGGAGTTTAGGGATAGCAGTTTTCGAAATTGACAGTTTTGGTCCCTTTTCACTTTTTTTTTTAACTTTCATTCTTTTAGGTTTTGTAAAAGTACAGTTTTAATTAATTGATTACTAATAAATAAATTCAACTTTTTTATTTAATTTGAGAATAATGATTGTTTTATAAGAAAAATAACATAAGAAAGAACAAACTGATAATTATATAATATAATATGATTAATACATAAAGTTTTGGATACTTTAAATAAGCATAGTTTAAATAAGCATAGTTTGGTTAGTTAATTGGTCTTTTGTTAAAATAACTGAAAAAACTTTTTTTGTCTTCTTTTTTTGACCTAGTGGCAGAAAGTTTCAAGAAGATGTGGAGGTTGTTTGTCAACGTGCATGTATTGCTAACCTTTATGTTTTATAATATTTTAAATTATTATATTGGTTTGACCTTACTTCCATAGAACTATAGAAAAGAGAGTTATGTATGAGAGATGAGGTAGTTTTCAAAGTGTTTTTCTTTCTTCCTCAAGCATCAAAAAGTCGTAGCTTTTTTACTCTTCCCTTCTCTTTTCAAGTTTGTTTTGTGAAGAATTGGTTCTTATTTTTTGTCTTCCTTTAATGTTATTTTTTTAAACACTTAAAGACTTAAAACTACCAAATGGAAACATCAACTAACAATGGCTCTTGGTGGCAACTTGGACAACTTCTAACGATGTTTGTCCCGCATATCACTAGGCATACAAGAAGGAATTCAATAATTTTTGGTACCTTATACATGGGTGATGGATTACTAGTAGACAACTTCAAGCTATTTGTTCATGACATCTACTTCAACACCCCAAAACCATTTGAGTTCAAAGACTCCATTCTAAACTATGCTATGAATGATTTTAATATCACTCTAACCTCATTAAAAGTATCCTTAGTGGTTTGATTTTATTATAAACTCAAAAATTATTAGAAAATTTTAAAGCTTTTGTTGCTGATTTTTGTGAAAGAACTCTCTTATTTTTGTATCGAACCCATCAGTGGTATCAGAAGTATCTTTTATATGATAAAATGATATTTTATGTTTGATAATCATTGGTTTTTGAAGAAAAAAAGCATGAATTTCTTTTTGGCTAAAGAAATGTCCATATTTGTTTTCTTTGGGAACTTTTAGTTTAAAAGTGTTTATTTTTATATGCAACTACTTTGCTATGTATTTTAGCTATATAAAAGTTGCCTTATAAAAAGTGAAGAGTTGTTTTTTATATATTTGATGTTGTTGCATATAAACAACCCATTAGGAAATTTATGGTTATTTTTTTATTTATTCATATGATGATATAATAGATAAATATATTTTATTTCATTTGTTCATTTTTATATATAATAAATTTGTTTTTACACTATATATATATATATATATATATATATATATATATATATATATATATATATATATATATATATATATATATATATATATATATAACAAGATGGATTATTAAGATATTATGAACACATGGAGCTTTGGAAGACCTTGAAGTGTCTTTATAATTTTACGAGGAAACGACTTAATATTTATTATGATTGCTCACAATAAATGTTACTAGAAAATGGTTTTGTTTATAAATTTTAAAATTTATGTTTGTGATGTTTATTTTTGGTTGCTATAAAATGTTATATGTATGTAAATGTGTTTGTCATGCTAAAAACATTTTGACAAAAAATTAACATCAATGTGGGTTTAGAATTTTAAATAAAAGTTTCCAACATAAGATGTCAAAACTTGAGTTTTTTATAAAAAAATTATTTTTATTTGTTATTATTATTATTTTTAATTTTGTAGAACTCTTAAATAGCCAAACATTTAAAGATTTAAAAAGGTTTATAATTTTTTGTTTAAAAATTTAATCTAAACTGTATAACTCCATACTAAAAGGATGTTTTATTAAAAAGTAAAAAAATTGTTCAAATCATTATTACATCGAATTAAAATTAATTATTAATTTTAACCCCATACTAAAAGGATGTTTTATTAAAAAGTAAAAAAATTGTTCAAATCATTATTACATCGAATTAAAATTAATTATTAATTTTAACCGGTAAAATTTAATATGAAATAAATTCAACTTTATAATTTTTGAAATACCATAAAATGTACCATGAAATATTTTATGCATGAAATATTCATGATACAAATTTTTTAAAATGCTAGAATAATAAAACATATATAAAACTCTTATTTTAAACTTTCAAATCTATGCAATCCACTTAAAAACCACTTAGCATTTGTTGTGCAATTCTAATGAATTTTGGGTCACCTTATCTATTTGGATTGTTAAGTAACGGCCAAGATATTTTATATTTACTTGTGAGATAACAGTCACCAAGCCATTTATAAAATATAATTCACAAGTTTTAAATGAATGATTTGATTAATTTTTTATGTGATAAAAGTTACCTAAACATAAGAGTTTGAGACATAGATGGGATGAACATACCACTAAAAACAAAGAAACATTTTTTTGGATCCCATTAATCTAAGAGTTACATAAGAGTTGTAACTGGTCATCGCCTCAAGTTATTTTGAGTGGTGTGGATCTTAGTTTTAAAATTTAATTTAAATGGTAATTAATTTTAAAAGAAGCTATATCAAAGATATTAAAATGAATCTTATTATTTTGTAGATGACTACAGGAACTGTAACAACCTTATCACTCACGATCCGATCCATCCTTGAAAAAGATAAACTAAGTGGCCCGACTTTCTTTCTTCGTTCAGACAATTTAGAATTGTCCTCACGCTTCAGAAAAAGGACTATGTACTTGATGAACCTGTCCCAAAAGAGCTTCCTCATAATGCCTCCAAGGAATTGAAAGATACTCGGGCGAAACATCTAGGAATAATCATGTAACGTCCCATTTTTTCATAACAAAATTTCTAATTTTTCTAAAACATCATTTCATTTATTCATGATAAATACCAATGTTTTACATTAAAAAGTTATTTATCTTATTTCAGAGTATATGCAGAAACAGGTTGCCAATGCATGAGTACACTCGAGTTTTGCCCTTCTTATTACATGATGTAGTACTTGAAAACATTTAATATCAACTGGATAAGTGCTAGGCTTAGTGAGTTCCCCAAAATACCATATACCATAATACATATACATGCATACCAACAATGCCTCATAATTTGCCAATAAGATATTTATCTTTTAATAGGCTCCCGGCCTCTTTAACCGTTCCACTATCATCCCATAACTAAAACTATGCATGCCTATAGGCTCCCAGCCTCATTAACCTTTTTTACCATCACCCTCTATCTAAGTATAGTTTACAACAATTTCGCATACAGAGACTGCAGTTTAGATTGTACTAATAAATACAAATTTATAATTTCTACTCTACTAGCCCTATATCCTAACATTAGAATAATCATAGCTTTCTCTCACGAAGTCAGATTTAGATGTTCTTTATATGCACGAAATCCTTGTCACATAAGCGATAACTTTGGTTAAGATTATTTATCCTAAATAATATGCAACAAAAAAGTCAATTTTAATGCTTATAATATTCAAATTAATTAGCCTGAATCTGCGGCTGTATTTCCTCCTTTGGATTATTACGTCCTAAAATCATCAGCAAAACAGGATTTGTATAATGACTCTCCACATTCTCAATCCATCCTACTTAATAACCGTAACTTGTATGCCTCTTCAAATGATTTTTTTTAACACTTGGACTTATTTGTTGTTGGTGGTGCTCAACCATGCACTCGCTCTTCATTCTAAATTCGATCTTTACTGGAGAATCCTGCTCCTTCAGAATAGACTTGATCTAATGCAAGGTATTTACTTCAACTACCGTAGCAAACCAAAAAGTCATTCTCTAATGATCTTCTATCGCATGATGCAATGGCTAGATTCATGTCTCTATGAACTAGACACCAACATAAATGTTATAGTCCTTCATGTTGTATTGTGATATAATCACACTATATTATGTAACATGTAACAGCCAAAAAACCAAGATAAATGTTTTCATTTTAAATAAGAGTTATAGGCATCAAATTGTTCTAAAAACCATGACATGGTAACAATGTCAAATCATCAGAGTAACAATATCTAAACGTGCAGAAAATGGTGAGGGGAGAATGCTATGCTATTATGCCAGACCATTTCCCTTAGTACTAGATGTACCTGAAACCATAAATATAAATTGTAAGCAAAAGCTTAGTAAGTTTCCCTAAGTACCACATACCAAACATCAATAAGTTATTTTTATGAGCCAAACCATAGTCTTACAAGTAATTTTTTCTGATGTCCAAATCATAGTGTTCCACACAGTTACCAGATGCCAATTCCTAGTCTTTCATACAGATGCCAGGGCCCACATCTTGGTCTTTCATACAATTGCCTGAGGCCAAATCTTGGTCTTTCA